ATGAAATGCCAGAAAATAGAAATAAAGACCATGTAGATTGCTCACAAATACGATACAAATGTTGGATGCAAAGGATGCTGTTGGACTATGATACAGCAGGGAACAGGTTTTGACTAGGAAGGTGGTTTATCTTAGAAGAGCAGAAGAGAGAATGTTAGCAGACAAAGAATAGGCAGCATTTTAGGGTTGACCATGGACTTGTGTGATTAGCAGAGGGCAGACTCTTCCTAAGACATTTCTGTTTCGGAGGTAAACCCAGGTAAGCTGCCAAATGGACAGTAAGGCTGTCCTCAGAATTTCAGCCTGGTAGAGGGAAGACTGATGGGTGTAATGGGAACGGGCTTTCCCGGGATCCAGGCGGGGGAGTGAAATGACGGCCCCAGCTGGAGCTACAGGTGCGGGTGGACGCCAGCCACAGGGCCACACCAGGGCGGAGCGGGAGCCGGCAGCGCGCGGAGGGTCGCACCGCCACGAGGACGGAGCCACGCTCTGGGTGACTTCCGACAGCAGGCTGTGCCCACGGAGCTCGCCTCCAGTCCCCCTGCGATCTGAAACAGCCCCCCTGGGAGGGGCTTCAGCTAAAGCATCTGCTTTTTAGGCACTTTGCTAAGATTCCAAGCGTGCGCTCACGTATTAGTGCAGGCAGAAAGCCTGGCGCACAAAACCCTCTCGGCCCGCGTCTCTTAAACGTGACCGAGCGACGAGTCCCTTTTCCTGTCATGGCTGGGAGCAACGTGCCGATGTAAAGCGCAGTCTGTCTATACCTAACAGGGCCGTTTTCAGAGCCACATGGAGAAGGAGGATGCAGGGAAGAAAGGCTTCAACGTCCGGATCCAGAGCAACATAAGTAGTTGAGGGGTCAGTGCCATCACCAGCCCATTGCTGAAGGATCGGGACCTTAGCCTTGCCCCTTCCATTGTCAACACTGGTCATTCTTATTTTTTTTTACATCCTCACCAGAGGATATTTTTCCATTTATCTTCAGCTAGAGTGGGAGAGAAGAAGGGAAGGAGAGGGAGAGAAAGAGAGAGAAACATTGATGTGAAAGACACACATCGACTGGTTGCCTCCTGCACGACCCTGACCAGGGCCAGGACGAAAGGCAACCGAGGTACATGCCCTTGACCAAATTCGAACCCTTGACTCTTTGGTCCCTGGGCCGACGCTCTAACTGCTGAGCCCAACCGTCCAGGGCCATACTGGTCATTCTTAAAGCCAACACAGGAAAGATGTCTTACTTTCTCTCCAGTGTTAAGAACGAGACTAGAAGAACAGCTGGGTGGGCCATCTCCCTGCAGGTGTGCTGACTCCTGCCGGCCACCCGGCAGCCGGCCAGGGTTCCTAGCAGCCCACTCCGCTGGCCAGGCACCCACAGGGGTGCCCAGAAGGCAGTCCTTTCGCCACGAGCCTGGGCACCCAAAGGGACCAGAGAAAGATTGGTTCAAAGAACATTTTGATAGTTTGGGTTTTAATAAAAGTTGTGCCTTTTGTAACTAACCTCAAATGGTTCTGGGGGGGCGGGAAAGGTACTATTAGCTCCACATTCAGGAAAGCAACATGTTATCTTCAAGCTTCTGGTTGACAAGAAAGCAAGCTGATGCCTACAATGTGGACTCTGTGTACAATATTCATTTTGCACAGGAGCCCAGTTCCGTTGAGAGCGAGTCTGCTGGGAAGGGTCACCTATTTGCTAAAAAAGTAATTGCTAAGCGGTAGAGAGGATTGAGCCTAAATTCTTATTAACGAAATTTTGGCGGAGGGTTAGTCTCTATATTTCTAGGTGCTCGTGTACACGTAAACCAACTCGGATGGATGTGGAAATCCGAAGGGCTGGTGTGGGGCCGAGGTTGGCAGAAAAGGACTGCGGATGACTTCTCACCACGTACCATTTTACACCTCTTCACACATGCTGTTTTTTTGAGCTCGATGTGATTTTTATTTAAAAAATAAATAGAAAAAAGCAAATGCTTCAAAGGGGCGTTATTCAGAATTAAAATGTATGAAACAGATTGCTTTATCCCGACACCAACCTAAGTCAGTTTAAAAGAGGAAGGATTGAATTCTGATCTGTGGAAAAGGTGGATGGAGAGGGAATGGGGTCCATTTTGGAGCATAATATGCACCAGGGGATCGGAGGTTGGAAGTGGGGTGCACTGATGAGAGGATTTGGAATCTAGTCTGTGTGACGGATCTGAGCAGTGGGGAGGCATGGCAGGATTTGGGGTAAGGGTTGTAAAGGGAAGAAGAAGGACAAGAATCGACTCTAACACTAAGCAATTGTGCCTGGCTCCCTGGGAGCTATATTGCGCTGAAAATCAGCTCAGCGCTGACCTGACGGGGCCGCAGAACCAGCGAGAGGGCCCCATGAGCGTTTGTGAGCGCTCATTCGGGGGCACGAACCAGACAGCTGGTTCCCACCACCACGCCTGGTAGTGGAGTGGAGACCCAGATGAAGGGCGTGGAAGGAAGCTCCCAGATTTCTCCTGGACATCAGAACAATTTCCTGGCAGGAAAGAGAGCCATAAAATGGAGCTAATGATAGCACATTTTAAGATCTGAGGTACAGAAAAACTAAGAAAGAGCAATAAGAAAGAATCTTTTAGAAGGTGCCCCAAATATAAAACTTCTGAGTTATGGACCAGTATTGGAACAAGAAGGTAACAGATGAGGGGACACAGGTGTAACAAGCCTGAGTCTTTCTAGAAGGTGGATAATCATGGAGTCATTCCACACTTGCTTTCTGCATGATAGATTAATGGGAGATTTGATCGCTAATCTGTTGATCAACACTGAAAAGATGAATCTCAGAAAGATGACATATTGCAAAATACTTCTACAGAGCCAAGAAAAACAACCTCTCTGCCTGGGACAGCTTTAATCAGACCATTCTTTTATAAGGAAAAAAATATGCCCAACAGTGGCATGGTCGCTTGTAAACCTTCCCAGCTCAGTAAACAACGGTTACACATTATTTGCCTAAAATATTCATCATCTCAGGCGTCAGTGAGTTTCTGTCATTGCTATGCAGAGTTACAAATCTTTACCAAGCCACTCAGTATCACGTGATAGCATGTTCCATAGTATTGGTAACATCTCTGATAGAAAATACGCCATTCACCCAGAAGAAGAAGAATATACCCTTTTGTTTGGCTTATTATCCTAGCTATGTGCCACTTTATAAATGAGAGAAGTTCCGAAAATTTAATACTGAAAGTAGAAAACAACTAAAACATAAAACAGAAAGTGTCATTTCACAAGAGCTCTGTTGCTCTCTTATTTGGTTGCTGGGCTTAGGAAACATGACGAAATCGTGGCACTGTACAGTCACTTGGAGGCGGTTTCTGCACCTCTGTACTACTGATGTCTGGGGCCCAATAACTGATGTCAGGAGCGTCCTGTGCATTGTAGGACGTGTGGCCGCGTCCCTGGCCTCTACTCGCTAGATTCCAGTTGTGACAATGAAAAGTGCCCCCAGACAAGGCCCAAAGTCCCCTGGCTGTCAAAATTGCCCCATGTGAGAATCACTGCCTGAGGGTTTTGCTCATCTTTCTGTCCAGCTCCTTAATGGTAGCAACACACCACCGTCTCCTTCAACAGAAATGAAACTAAACTAAGGAAGTAAATGAAATGATTGTCATTAAGCAAAACCACAGATCAAAGTCAAGTGGACGTGTTTCCCCATCCCCCAGACCAGCTCTGCCTTCTCCCAGTTCCCACACCAAAGCGAAGTCGTGCCAAGGCGGCCGCGGCGATGGAGCCATCGCTCCGCGCACACCGCCCCCCGACGAAAGGCCCCGCTGTGGAGCCGGACGCGGTGAACAGAGAGAGGAGGACTTACTGTGAACAGAAGCAGCCCTGCGGAATTTTGCCAGGTCCACATTGGGCGGTCTGCTGGGTTTCTGCGGAGGAGGGCCCAGGACAAGCAAGGAGGGCAGGGGCTTCTGCTTCGGGGTGGCTGCAGTCTTGTCTCCCTTTTCCTTGTCCTGGCTGTGGCCCCAGGGGCCTGCCGCTGTCACCTTAGAAGGGGTCTTGGGGAGCAAGGCAGGTGGAGCGCCGGAGGCAGGCTCTTCCTGACTCGTCCTGCTGGAGAAGACGCTCGTGCCAGCATCTGCCCTCCTGCCCTCTTTCTTTTCATCGGCCCTCTTGGACAGGCTCGGGCCGCCTCTGCTCGCGGCCGGCTTCAGAACCACTCCGGGGAAGGGCGAACTCGGCGTCTCGCCCCCTTGGTCTTTGCTTTCTGGGCCTTCCCTGGCCGGCTTCAAAGGGCCGGCTTTGGACTTGACTCCGGGGGTGGCCAAGGGTCCTCTCTGTAGAGACGCGTTCTTCGTGGGGGTGTCGACTTCATGGGGGTCATCGACGCTCAGGGATGGCTTCTGGCCAATGACGGGTTTGGGGAAGAGGGGCTTGGGGTCATGGTCTTGGGAAGTGGACGCGAACTTGCCTTGAACCCCAGACAGCTTTGGGAACACTGGCTTCTGCTCGTGTTCCGGGGCTGGAGGATTAAACCTGGGCTTTGGACCCGGCGGCTTGAGGTCATGGTCCTGGCTGAGTCCGGGAAGTGAAGGCTTATTCCCAGGAGGCCGGGGGAAGGCCGGCTTGGGGTCTTCTTTGGGAAGGTTGGTGGGCTTGGGGCCTACAGGCCTCGGAAATCCTGCCTTCACCTCGGGGTCTCTGGTGGCGGAGCTCGCTGGTGATCCAAACCTTTGGCCCCCTCCTGTGGGCTTCAGAAACGGGGGCTTGGGCTCCACGTCCGGCTTTTCCTCACAAGAAGGTTTCACCCCCAAAGGTGGCCTTGGGGACCCAAACTTTGGTACGGTGCTGGGTCCCGCTGGAGGGCTGGCATTTCCTTGGTTGGTGAATAAGTTCTTTTTGGCCTGTACTCCTGAGGGGGAGTTTTGCCCCGTGGCTTTGAAGGGCCGGCTGTTGCCTGCGACCTCCTCCGTCGGGCTGCCCACGGTGTTAAACTTCGCCATGAGGGACTTCACATCTGCTTTCCCATCCTACAAGCATGGGGAACAAAAACTAGCTGAGAACTACACTTCCACAGTTTAAAACACTACACTTTAGACGGTTTCCTGGTTTGAGGCCTGCGGTGGAGCTGATTGGGTCGCCAGATATTGTAACATTTGTCTTCCTCTACAGCAAAATAAGTGGTGAGAGTCTCTTGAAGGGGGAGGGCCTGAGCACATACACTTTTTGGGTTTGTCTTAGACTGACATGCTTGCTTTTGTTGGTCGCAGCCTATTGTTTCTCTTTCCTATCACTGTTTCTCTTGCTGGCTTGTTGGATTTATTCTTTACTTGGTATTTGTCTGTTTTATTTTACTTGGGAAAATATGGAAGTTTCTAACAAATGACTTCTTCCATATTGCACAGGTGAGCCTCTTAAATAGAAACTGCATTTTAAAAATGAAAGTGAGCTCCCAGGTTGCATACATTGTATGGCACGGCCACATTCAATGTCTCTGGTCTGTGAGGGTGCCTACCTCCATCTGAGGTCTGTCTGCTTGCTAACAGGGGGTGGGGCAGAAATACCCACTCGTTTTATGTGTAAGTAATAAAAAGAGTCTTTCTACTTACTTTTATATACTTCATGCTAATGATTCAGCTGGAACCAGACAAGCAGGTAGATTGCTCTGTTCCAGGACTGGTCCTGTCTAGGGGCGTCGTCTGGGGCCCTCGGGGGAGGGGACAAGGATGCAGAGACTGGCTGGGAAGTCTGACATCCAGACTTCTTGTTTTCTCCAGTTTTGTCTCTTCTACAGTGACACTTGTCACTCCTTCTCAGAGGTCCTGCTATGTACACTGTCTGTCCCCCTTGTTCTAGAATGAGGGTACTGCACAGTAAAGAGGGCAGACAGTCACCCTTCTCTGTGGGTGTAATCCCAGGTAATCTGGTAGAATTCATAGTATGTTTTGTCTGTCTCTCAAAAGCAAGTTCTTCCTAGAATATTATAGTTTTTTTAGACTACTTGAAAGTCAAAAGCTTAAAAAAAATCATTGAGGATACATGTGTGGTCATTCCCATGTCTATTTTCATTCTCTTAGAAAATATTTTCCAGCTTCCACCCCCACCACTCACTGCCACATACCCAAGCACACCTCATGTCTCAAGTCCCCCCACTCGAATACCACAAAACCAGACCCTGTCCGGTTGGGAGGATTTGCTCTGTCCTCTTAACTCACTTCAGACACTTCTACATGCCCGAGTATGACTTCCTCTCATAACAGTAAGAACCACCATTTGGTGTGTGTGTGACTCTGAACCATGCATGTACCTGTGCGGCCCATCTCGTGCTTTGGGAGGATGGCATTCGCCAACTCCATGTCCCAGGAAAGAAGAGTGAGGGTAAAACTGCATGAGGACATAGTGGAAAGACCATGAGAACTTGGCTGGATTCGTGATTTGTTAGTTGGGCCTCAGTTGCATCATCTGTAAAATGGGCATAATAATGCAGACCTGCCAGAATTGTCATGCGCATTGGAGATGGAATTTATAAAGTGCCTGCCTGGCCCACAGCATGAGCTCAGTAGATGAGAATGTTATTATGAGAGCTGTTAAATAGTGTATTCAAGACTCACAGCCAGGAACTGTGAGCACAGGGATTCAGACTCCAATCCATCTAAAGTTCCAAAGTCCAAAAACGGTCTCATTCCTCTCTGTATCCCCACAACACCTGAACCAAGGCCAGGGTTTTAATATATATTTGGGGAATGAAGGTTGGCACTGAGCTGAATACTGTGAATAGGGATTTTCAACGAAGTGATACTCTCAGCAGGAGTTTGTCTCCGTACCGAACTGCATGTGTACTTGTGGCTTGGGGGCCAGGAACCTGAGCAGGAGATGAAAACCAGATGAGAGAAGCATTTTCCAGCTTGAATTTTGCTCCTTTAATTTACTACCTATATCTGATTAGCTGAAACATCTTGTTTTCTACCTTGCCTTCCTTGATCACTTTTTAAATCGCCATGATGTCCCCAAAATCTCAGTCAAACTTCAAAGGCCCTGGCCGGTTTGGCTCAACAGTTCGAGCGTCGGCCTGTGGACCAGGGAGTCCTGGGTTCGGTTCCCGCTAAGGGCACGTACCTTGGTTGCAGTTTGTCCCCAGCCCTGGTTGGGATTGTGTGGGTGGCAACCAATCAATGTGTCTCTCTCACATCGATGTTTCTCTTTCTCTCTTCCTCCCTCTCTCCCTCCTGCTCTTATCTGAAATGCAAAAATATCCATGGGTGAGCATAAAAACAACAACAAGAAAAAAAAACCAAGGCCTCAGGGAGGAAGACCAGGGAGAGTTTAGTGTTGGGGGTGGGGTGAGAATAGGAGAAGATATGTCCTGCCCTGTGCCTCCAAGAATATCATAACCGCAGAGAACGCCAAGCTGAGCACAGCAGCATAAAGAAATAACACCCAAGTTTGCTCACCACCTGGAGGAATGTCCCTCTCTGGGGAAGCATTCTCTTACTCTATATTTTATGATTCATATCCTAGATCTATAATTTATGCTTGATTTTATACTAAGAGGTTGCGTAGCAGAGTGGTTAATCAGACAGATTCAGGAGCCAGACTGCCTGGGTTTGGATCTTACTAGCTATTTAATCAAGGTCAAGGAACACACATTCTCTGGGCTTTAGTCGGGTCACCTCTATCATGGGAATAATAAGGCCACGTCACAGGGCTGTTCGGGAGAAGAAACAAATTAATATTCACAAAGCACATTATAGAGCACCTAGTACCCAGGAGGGTTTCCTGTTTTTATGAAGCAAGTCAAGCCGTAGAAATCAGCTAGTCTACCTCTTCCATTCTGTTGGTGAGGAACAGAAACCAAAGGATTTAAGTGACTTCCTGTTTAGTTATAGCAACTTCACATCTCAAATTTTACAGGGGAAACCCCAGGAAACACACTAATCCATTGTCAAACTCCATGTCCCGGTTTTAATGAAGAAAGTATGGAAGTGGTTGATTTGGAATTGGAACTAATCTCAGATGTCAGCCAGACCTGGGGGCAGGGCAGTGTCTTGCTTACGAACCCAGGCTCTGGGATTATTGACTTGGGTTCAAACTTTGACTTTGCCACTTACTAGCCATGTGATCTACCGACTCAGTTTTCTTCATCTATAAAATGCAAATAATAGCGGTACCGATTTCTCACAGGGTTTTGTTTTTCAAAAAAGGATTAAACGGGCTAATGTGTGTAACGTTCTGAGATCAAGAATTGTAGGTCTGCGATCATGGCTTTTTCCAATTTACTAGTCACATAACATCATTTCTCCAGGTGACCAAACTGCGATGTTGCAATTGTTAATGTCACATCCTACTTTTAAATCGGTGTGACCGCTGGATAACGTAATCAAGTTGGTATGTTTGGGTTTACTTTATCTCCACTCAAACTTTTCACTGGATGTTCAAGGACAGGTTAAGAAAGAGCACGTTCGTGTGCAGGACACTGAAGATGCTATGACAACCTCTGAGCTTACTAATACGTCTGGCAAATCAGTAGCCTGAACTGCAACTGTTTCATCACTTATGTGGACTGCTTAGCTTTAGAGGTTGGTTGGTTATTATCACTGTTAGTAAGTTCGTTAGCTAAAAATCGTTAACACCTAGATACGCCTTGTTCTTAACCATAATAGCCAGATTTCTTCCTTAATGATAATGATGGAAAGTAAAAAATGATTTAAAAATTTTTTGACATTCTCTCTTCTTGACTTTTTGTAGGTTAAATATCCATTCCATGTTCTAGGGCTTTTTTTTTTTTTTTTTTTTTTTTTTAAATAAAAAAAAATAGGGTAGGGGCAATCATCATTGCATACGAGAGTGAAAAGTAAGCCTGCTCCAAGACCCAAAGCTCCAAGCCCTCGTCCTCCAGTTCTAGGGAGATTATACATCCTGATTCACCAGTTCACCACGAGCTTATGCCTCTTGCTCTGGAATAATAATAATCCCCCTTGCACTCTCAAAATCCACACGCTTTAAACAATAAATTACATGGTAAACTCACCCAGGTCTTCACTAGAGGAAACCACTGTTATCAGTTTCTTATGTATATATCTAAGCTATGCATATACAAATACATATAAACACATACACACGCACACACACCCTGCTTGTCCCCACCTTTGGCTCAGTACCTTGCTTTTTTCCAGAACTGATAGTCAGCTAATACACACCAGGATGGTTGGATGTCTGATCAGCAAACATTCTGATTGCTTAATACCTCCAGTTGATAAATTTTCAATATTAACTCTGCTTTTTTCCCCTTGCCAATTGATCTTTATCAGCGTATAGGATTTGCAGAATCTTTAAAAAATAAACTCTGTTTTTTAGAACAGTTTTAGATTTACAGAAAAATTGCAAAGGTAATAGAGAGTTCTCATATACTGTCCACCCAGCAACCCTGTGACTGGCACTTTACGTTAGTTTAGAGGACTTTTTTAACTTTTAATGATTTTAAGATCGGGTTTCTATTTATGCTTAAGAAGAGGTATTTCACAATCTGGAAGACTTCAGAGTTTAAGATATTTTAAGTAAAACAAAAATTTTATCTTAGATTATTTGCAATTTTCTTTTCAAAGTCATTTGAAGCAATTCATCATTATTTCCATCTATGGACCTATATAACGTTTAGCCAAAACTACATGCATCGCTCCATAATTACACAGCTGTAATTGTAGAAATGCTCTTGATGCAAATAAAATTTCTCTAGTTCCCCCAGATATTTTCCCACTTCCTTAGAATTCTATACCTTCACTGGTAAAAACTTAGCACATCTGTCCTAGCCCTGGGAAGTTGACTGTTAGCAAATACATCACCTGGTTTTCCACTTAAGGACTCCAGAATCCAGAAATATGTGTGTGTATAAATAAATAAATAAACATATATATACATATATATACACATATATACATATATGTATATATATTTGCTTTTAGCAATGTACATAAGGGTGTGAGTCAAGTACATATTTAAATATTTTTTTTTATCCTTATCCGGGGACATTTTT